TATATATATATATATATATATATATATATTTCCCACTGAAATTTCCAAGCAATATATGTATATAGATGGCATCGTTTTCCTCAATATCGCTCTGCTAGGGTTTTGTTGTTATGGAGGACGCTGGTTCTGTCCACTACTCGGGCTCGATCTTCTTTCGTTTTCGTCAGTATCGTGCATTAACATCCTCGTGGCTCGTCTTCTGCGGGAGTGCGTCCGTGCGGCCGGTTAAAGATCGTCTTCGGCAGCATCCTGCGCGTCTCTGCGGGATCATGTTCCGCGTGTCTTCTGTAGCATCACCCAGCGACGACGCTTCCTCCTTAGCTGCCGCGGCTCGCATCATCTTCTCCCACATTAAACGACGCCCTTGTCGCCTTGCCCGACATAAAGTTCCCTCTGAAGTCTACTAGCTTTTTTCTAGCAGCTCACTTAGCCGTTCTGGAGATGGCCTCGACAATGCGTTCTTATGACAATGCACTTGCCGACGACTTTCCTACTCCTACTTGTGCTGCTCTTTCAAGTTCAGAGTCTGGTTTACATATTGATAAGTCCTGCAATGTTCATCAATCTTTTCACGACGCCATTGAAGTTGGTGGTGATCACACTTTCATTAAAAAGGTTGACAAAAAAATGAGAAGTCTGCTTTTATTCTCACTTAAGTTAAAACCAGCACTCTCGTGTTTTCTTGGCGTTTTGTTCTAGTGGAAAATTTTCTTTATTGTCACCCAAAACTAGATATCATTCGAAAAGAGTTTTATGCTATGAAGCTATTTGACAGTTGAAATATTAGCTTACTTGACGGTTGACATATATTTATTCAGTTGTCTCACGATGTCGATTACAGTCGCATTTTTTTCTCGAAAAGTTATAAAGATAGACAACTGTTTTATGAAAACTTTGAAGTGGACTGTCGATTTTAATATAAAAGCAGAGTCTCCTATCATTCATGTTTAGGTAAAATTTTCTGAGTTAAAATTACATCTGTTCAACTTAGAAATACTCTACTCTTTAGCAACTGTTTACAGTAAACCTCTCAAGGTTGATAGTCCTACGCTTGCTGTCACCAGACCCTCTGTGGCTTGTGTGTTAGTTGAGAGAGATATCACTCAACCAGCTCCGGATGAGGTATGAATTGACACCACTCACAAAGGGCATTGCAAAATATTAAAATACAACCACATCATCCTTATTGCTCTCATTGTATTATGTTTGGCCACAACTCTATCATTTGCTATCGCTTGCATCTTCATCTAAGGTCGAATATCACTAAAGGTCAGTCACCTACCATTCTGCTGAGAAGATGCAACCCGATCCTCTTTCCAACACCGCAGTTTCAGATGAAGAACATCATTCTACAGGTATAAATCCACACGTGATTATACCACGCACTGTTATTGAAGAAGACCCACTTACATGTCAAGAATCACGAGAGTGCTTCTTCGATCCGATAAAAGATCAGCTGGTACAATAAGTTTTTATTTCTAATGTTCAGCAACCTACACATGTTAGACACACTTTAGACCAATCCACTGATCAGATGAGTCAATCTTCGGATAAGGAATGACAGGTCTATTCCAGGAGGAAGAAAAAGAATGGAGGCAGACTCGAGCTCGAGAATTTATTGGATGATACATTGGTTACTACTGGCAATGACACTCATCTTACCAATTAATTAGTTGGCTCATTCCCTAAAACTAGAGGCAGAGGCAAGACAAAATTGAGCCGCTCTCTAGCTACCTGATACTCAGTATTTTGACACTTTTTGATCTTTTCTTTGGGTCTCTCATGTATTTTTTTGTATCTCTTTTTGGAATCATTTGAAGTGGTGGTTATCATGCGGGCAGGGTGTCATGTTTGGGCCCTCCCACACAATCTATTTGTATCTACGTTCTATTTAATATATTAGCCATTGGACTTTCTCAAAAAAAAAAGATATATATATATATATATATATATATACAAGGTATAATATGGCGTCGGTGGCGAGCTCGAGCTGCTCCGCTTTGCCTAATGACGATTCCCTGGTTTGATCTTTCGACTTTACCATCGTGCTCAAAGACGAAGCTCTCGCACTCGACGACGAATTCTGGGTTCGTCAATCTCTCATGCGATCGTCGACTCCTACGTCGTCGTCACGTCTCGCTGCAAGCGGCGACTGACTGTCTTGGCTGTCTTATCTTCATCGTCTCGTTGCTATTGCGTGGTTGTCAAGCTGCATGCCGCGTCAGGTCGTCTCGTCGTGGTTCCTCTCACTCTCGTTCGCTAAAAGTGTTCCGCGAACGCCTCATCGAGCTGCGACTGGTCTGCGGCTTCGACAACTGCCCCATCCTTTCCGCCCCCTATTTTTGCCGCTGCCCGACTTTGGCAGGGCTTCTCTTGCTGTGATGGAGCTTCCTTCATCTACGGTTGAACCTAACAAAGCCTCCTTTGCCCACGTGGTGGGTAACTCTCAGAGGGAGACGACAGTTGTCTTCCCCTCAAGTTATAAGAAGCAACGGGAAGGTGATTGCCCATTTATCAAGATTACAAGTAGGAAAAGTGAGAAAACAACAATTTTTTTTTCTCTGAGCTAGAAATTTCATCCTTTACTGATAAATTCAAGTTGGCTCTTATTGAAAAATTTCAGTTGGGACACCAACATATGGATGTTATCAACAAAAATTTTGATGATCTCAAATTAACAGGAAAGTGGAAAGCATGGCTCATAGATGGGAGACGTATTAATTCAACTAACCGTGTCTGAAGACTGCACTGAGATTTTTTCCAAAAAATATCTCAATATTGTTGGTAAACCAATGAAGCTACTCACGTGGTCTCCTAATTTTGACCCCAAGCGCGAATATCCTACTGTACCGGTATGGTTTAGTCTACCTAATCTCAAGCTGCACTTTTTTCATCATCAGGTTTTTACTCTATTGGTGTCATACTTGAGGACCCTTTGAAGCTAGATCTACCCACTTTTAACCTAACCAGAGCTTCTGTGACCAGAATACTTATTGAAAGAGATATTACTTTACCTCATGTTATTGAAGTTTGGTTGGGCACAACTCATAATGGATATTGGCAACAAATTGTTATGGAGCATAGACCTCCTTATTGTTCTCATTGTATGATGTTTGGGCACAACCATGATAAATGCTATAAGCTTCATGCTAATTTGAAATCTAAAGATCAAGTGAATAAGAATGGATCTGACCCCACTGCTTTGGATATATCTATTCCATCTGAAGAGAAAACTACCACAGAACAGGTTATGGTGTTTGATTTAATCGCCTCTGTGGATTATCCCTCGGAAAATACTATTTCCGCGATCGATGATAAGCTAAATGGCCCTGCTGAGCAACCTCACTTTCAAACCCTCCTCAGGCAAAAGGTGAAGAGACATTTCATGCTTCACACACACTTGAACCTAAAGTCGTTGCAACAGTTGACAATCCTTCTTCTAGTGCTCATCAGTTTTTATCTGCCCGACGTTCTGTTTCCAACACAATGATCAGATGAGCCAGTCTTCTGAGGAAGAATGGCAGGTCTACTCAAGGAAGAAGAAGAAGATTGGAGGCCAACTTCAGCTTGGGAACCTAATAGATGATACTTTGATCACTTCGGGAAATGGCTCGGCACTCAACAATTTGTTATCCAGATCTTGCCCTAGAGCTAGAGGCAGAGGCAGGGCTAAACTTTGCTCGTTCCTAGCTACTTCTTTTCTGCGATTTTGGTATCTTTCCTTTTTTTTGGGGTTTCCCTATATCTCTTCTCTTTTGGGGTGTTTGTGTGTGTTGTATCATATGGGTAGGGTGTCTCTATTGGGCCCTCTCATACAACATTTATGTATCTTTCCTATTTTAATAGATTTAGCCCTTGGGCTATTCAAAAAAAAAAAATATTGCCCAAAAAGGCTAATATATTAAATAGAAAGAAAGGTACATGTATAATGTGTGGGAGGGCACAAGTATAGCGCCCTGCCCACAAAAAAATCACAAATGATTCCAAAACTAGAAAAAAACAGAAAAAATAGATTAAATACTTAAATAAAAAGTCTAACAGTTAAATAAAAAGTCTCTTAAATAAAAAGTCTAACAGTGCCGAAATACATAGAATCAGGTGGCTAGAGAGAGACCCAATTTGGTCTTGCCTTTACCTCTAGTTCTAGGGGAGAAGCAAGCTAATAAGCTGGTAAGATGATCTTCATTGTCAGAAGTAACCAATGTATCATCCAATATGTTCCCGAGTTGGAGTCTGCCTCCATTCTTCTTCTTCCTCCCGGAATAAACCTGCCATTCCTCTTCCGAACAATCAGTCTGATGGGGTGGTAGAGTTGAAGCAGAAGGAATACCAACCATAGTACCCACAATAGGTTATAGCATATGTGAAGTAAGAGTTGCCTTTACATCGGATACTTCTTGAAGAAGTTGAGTTACGAGGCTTTCCTGATTATCAGTCTGAACACTATCATTTGTAGGTAATAGTAGGTAATAGTAATAGTCCATCAATATTATTTTCTATGGGGTTTGAAGGTGTTAGCGTCACATCACTTGCAGTAACAGTAACAGCAGCGTTATGGGGGGTCCTCAGAGACAACACACCTCCTGTCTGGTAGTATCCTCCCCATGTGGAACTAAAATGTCCAGAGCAGTGGGGTTAGACCTATCCTTATTCACTTGAACCTTAAATTTCAAATTTGAATGAAACTTGTGACATTTATCAAGAGCATGACCAAACATCTTACAGTTGGTACAATATGGGTGTTTGTGCTCTATGACGATTTGTTGTCAATAACCATCATGGGTTGTACCCAGTCAGACTTTAGTAACATCAGGTAAAGTAATATCTATTTCCACAAGTACTCTGGCCACCGAGGGTCCGGTTAGGTTGAAAATAGGCAGATCTAGCTTCAAAAGATCCCCAACAAGGATGACCCCAATAGAGTAGAGAACCTGATGGTAAAAAAAATTGCAGCTTGAGACCAGGTAAACTAAATCATACCGATACAGTGTGAGTTTCATGATTTGGGTCGAAATCAGGAGACGACTTGAGTAACTTCATGGGTTTGCCAGCGATGTTAAGACATTTTCTAGAGAAAATCCGAGTATAGTCCTCAGACACGGTTAACTGAATCAATACATGTCTCTCATCCATGAGCCCCACTTTCTACTTTCCTGTTAGTTTGAGGTCATCAAAATTTTTTCTGATAATTTCCATAGGTGGGTGTCCTCACTGAAATTTCCCAATAAAAGCAAATTTGAATTTGTCAGTCGCGTTGAAATTTCTGACGTGAAGAAAAAGAGTGTTACATTCCCACTTTTTCTGCTTGCATTCTTAATAAAGGGACAATCATCTGCACCATCACGATGCTCCTTATAACTTGAAGGGAAGACAACCGTCGTCTCCCCCTAAGAATTACCCACTACGTGGGCAAAAGAGGTTTTGTCAGGTTCAATCTAAAAAGAAGAAAGCTTCATCACCAGCAAAAAGAAGCCCTACAAGTCGGGCAGAAGGCAAAAAAGACAAACTGGTAGAAAAGGTGAGCAGACAGGAGTTTTGTGGCTCTGTCGAGAGGAGAGGAGTCGTAGCAGTGAGCCGCTATTAGGACTGTCGAGTGGTGCGAAGGAGGGGAACCGGAGGAGACGAGATTTGTTACTATATATATATATCCATCAAATGTAAGACTCAAAATTGAAAGAAAAAAGAATTTGACAATGCTTTTATCCACATAGTGACCCAGAGGTTGCTGGTTTGAATCATTAAAATAACCACTCATAAAATAGGAATAAGACTACCATTCCCAAAATCCTACAGTTGGTTCAAAGCAGACTCCTAGAATACTCATTTTGTCCCGTTTATATTGTTGGGCTATATATAACCATTCAACAATATATCATCGAATGGAGTCATCTTCCTCGCTCAACTTTGCTAAAGTTTCGCCCGATGGCGAACCTTAGCAATAGTTACGGTTTCGTTGTTTCCTCTCGGCATGTTCGCGCTCGATTCCGTTCGTCTCCCACGCTTCTTCTCTAGCTCTGAGACTAGACTCGTCTCCCGTATTTTGGTCTCGCGAGCTTTCCTGTCTCGGGATTTCTAGGCTCTGCGGCCCGTCTCGCGGGTACCGCTCGCCTGTTATGCGACTCAGTCTCGCGGGTACTGCCGCGATTTCTACGTTCTCTGCCCTCTTCCCGTCTCACAGCGACCTCCCCTTTCTTAGCTTCGGCTATTTCGGCGCGGTTTTTTCCCTCATCTGATAGGACGATTTTTTCCCTCATCTGTTTTCTTCTCTGAACGACACACTTATGTTTGAGGATGACTTCGGTCAAATCGTTTGCAGCTGACCTTGCCGGTGTCCACCCCTCAGGCACACCAAAATCGTCATATTTTCCTCTTTCGTTTGAGTGGGCGGAGGACATCAAGAAACCTGATAAGAAGAATGTGAAGTTTGTCATCTTTTTTACAGAAGCTGAAGGTATTCAACTGGCATCCTCCTATCGTACGAATTTGGTTGGGAAATTTCTATATGATCGTCCCAAAATGGAGCTCATTCGCAAAAAAATTGAACTTATGCACCTTGTTGGAGAATAAAAAATTTGATTATTAGATGAGAGACACATTCTTATTCAAATTAATAATAAAGAAGATTACATGCGCTTATTTGCTAGAAGAATAATATGGATTAATAACAGAATAATGAAAATTCTGAAATGGTTTGTGGATTTTGACCTATAGACGGAACCATCAATCATTCAGTTTGGATTCGTCTCCCTGACCTGAAATTTCGTTATTTTTCTCAAAAAGTATTTTACTTTATTGCCTCAGCTTATGAGAAGTCACTCAAGACGGGCATTCATACTTTTAATTTGTCCCTTCCTTCTGAAGCCAGAGTACTTGTTGAAAGAGACATCACTTCACCCGTATGTAGGAAATCTGGTTGGGCACACAACACCATGGATATTGGTAAAAGGTAGAAATTGAACATTTTCCGTCGTATTGTTTGAACTGTCGTATGTTCGGACACTTCAGTTCTCAATGTCACCATCTACACCCCCAACTCAGACCAAAAAAGAAAACTGCTCCGCTAGAAGCTGTGATTTCATCTCCTCCTGATCAGCTCCCAGTTTTTGACACTATTGATCATCAGAAGGATATCTCGGACTACGTCACTATCCCCGCAGGCAATATGACAACTATTGAGTCCCCATTTGTAGCTCCCTTGTCTTTGAAACCTCCTATCGTGGGGGAGAAAGAGTTTCTTCAGACCCCGTCTACCCTAGAACCTATCACTGATAATACAGGTGGAAATATTTTACTGTTTCACTACCGCCTCATCAGGTTTAGAAAGATGTTAATATTACTCAGGCTCATTGGGATCAAGATGTGCAACAACCTACACCTGTCCGACCACCTTTGGAATCTACTGATCAGATGAGTCAATTATCGAATGAGGAATGACAAGTCTACACATCCAGGAGGAAGAAGAAGAATGAAGATCTACTTAAGCTCAGGAATCTGATAGATGATACTTTGGTTACTACAGGCAATGGTACTAACCTTACTAATTTGTTAGCCGGCTCACTTCCGAGAACTAGAGGCAGTAGGACTAAAGTGGGACGTCCCTAGCACTTTTGTGTCCTTCTGTGTCTTTTCGGTTTTTTTACCTTTATGTATCTTTGCTTTATTTGGGTTTTGCGTGTGTTGTATTGTATGTATTGGGCTTTTTTTCAGACCCTCTCATACAACAATTATGCATATTTTTGGTATTAATATATTTGCCCTCGGGCTTTTCCTAAAAAAAAAATATAACCATTCAACAAACTTACAGTTGCTTTATGTCAGAATAGAATCAGTTTATTTTTGGAACTCCAAGGCTTTTAAAGCTAAACCAGATAGGAGTCTTTTACACAAAAACAAATTCGACTTCACAATCAAGTAAATCCAATGATCATAAGTGCAAAATTATCATATGCTTTCGTATTAATTGTATTTAAGTTATTTTCTTATGTATGAAAACAAATCATTTCCTATGTCCATTAACTTCTAGGCTTACCTGACGTACAGTGACAAAATTACCAAGCGATTTTGACATTTTCTCAGATCCAACATCAACAAAGCCATTATGGACCCAATAGCTTACGTTGCTATCTTTACATGCAGCACAACTTTGAGCAATTTCATTTTCATGGTGAGGAAACACAAGGTCCATTCCACCACCATGTATGTCAAACGAATAACCAAGATAACTTGCACTCATTGCACTACATTCAATATGCCATCCTGGCCTTCCAGGTCCCCAAGGACTCGCCCAAAATGGTTCCCCAGCCTTGGCAGTCTGCAACCAAAGTATAAAAGAAATATATAACTAGGCTATTAGTAAAGGAGAAAAAAATGAAGGATGCAAAAAATAACAGGTTATAAGTTTATTTTACTTTCCACAGAGCAAAATCAGCAGGATTTTGCTTTCTCGAATCTATAGCAACCCTCTGTCCTGGTTGATTGTCCTCTAATCTCCTACCAGATAATTGGCCATATGAAGGATATTTGTCAACAGAGAAGTAGACGTCACCATCAATTATGTAAGCAAAACCATTAACAAGAATCTGTTCAAAAAAGAAAGTATAAGTCTTGTTGAGCTTAAAGTGACGTTGCTAAAGTGGGGTCGGCAACATGAATCCTTTTTCTCCATTGTGTGCTATTGAGTGTCCTATTTTCATTTAATTCTAATAGATTAAGATCAATTTTTAGATAACATGCCCAACTCTTTTTAGATCTACTTCTATCTTTCTTACCAAAATTCAAATCTAAAACATCGACTCTCCTAACAGGATCATCAGCCGGCGACGTTTAACATGAACAAATCATCTAAGACGACTCTCTCTAATCTTGTCTCCCACTGGAACTACACTGACCCTTTCAAGGATATATTAGTTTTGAATTTTGTCTCTTTTGTAAAGCAAAAGTAAGAAAAAAAACCAGTCTTCTCTATGCACTGAAATCTCTCTTTTGAATAATTTAAATGGATCATTTAAATGTTTAAAAACTATATCAATTTATAGGTTATGTCATAGACTGTCCTTAAATAAATGTTCCTTCCAACTTCCAAGCCCAAATAAATCACATGCATTGTGCAAACTCAGATTTAACTAAAACTACTGTTAAAAAATGAATCTTAGCGTGGATATTTTTAACAGAAAATTATGCCAAAAATTATGTCCAAAAAATACCGTATTTGCCCAAAAAAAAAAAAAAAAAACTAGGGTTTGTTCAGTAATGCTTATCAGTTGCTTTGCTTTTAAAATCACCAAACACAAACCTGACTATTACTTACCTATCATCATTACACAATATTACAAAATGCAGTTAAATACATCAGTAAGTTTGTTGGAAACCCGAAGTACACAATGTTGACTCAATATAAATCCAGCTGGAAAAAGTAAAGAGCATTCCATTGCTCTAGTGCAATAACATATTAAAACAAGAACACTGTTATTAAACTAGTTTCCATACCTGTTGAATCATATCTATAATTTGGTTTATATGGGTTGAGACACGAGGTTCCACAGTAGGATGCAAGCAATGAAGAAGAGCCATATCAGACTGAAATTCAGCACAGAAGCGGTTGCTCAAAGTCAAGGGATCCTCCCCCAATTCATTTGCTCTTGCAATGATCTACAGAATTCCAAAAGTGCAGAACTCAGGTATCCTGTCATACATATGCAAGATAGTTGGTATAGATTGCAGATTACACAAAATATTGATAAATGGTGCAGCTTCTACAAGAGGAATAACCAAACTGCTCATGTAACAAAAATCAAGTCCAAAGCATCCAAGGAATCCATAATAAATATGGAAAAAAAAACTTTAAAAAGGGAATAAAGGGGACGCATGTTCACTGCTGGGTAATGATCTCACAAAAATCAAAACAGTATTGAACATGCAAGCTAAAATATAGGAAATATTTACATACATACCACGCAATTCTTATGTATTTACATATCTAACACCTAAGCCTCAATTTTTACATATATGCCACCTACCTATGCATAAGAAAATGTATTTCACTCTTAAAAGTTAAAATAGATGTATGTTTGATGTGATATGAAATTTGGATGGTAAAAATGTAATAAGGTCTGGGTGTTAGATATGTAAACACAATTGAATTGGGCGGTATGTAAGTAAATGCCCCAAAATATAATGAAATGATATTGTGTCTATGTTATTACCCCACCAGATCCCAGCTACTATTGAGGTTGCTCGTGCTGATTCAGCTTGGAAAACAGCAGTAACAGAGGAGATGAATGCCCTTCAGTGGAACCATACATGGGACATCATTGATCTTCCTCAGGGTAATAACGTTGTAGGGTGCCGATGAATTTTCAGCACCATGTTCAACACTAATGGATTCTTTGAACGAAACAAAACACGATTAATTGTCAAAGGATACTCATAGACCTACAGAGTTGACTATGAGGAGACATTTTCTTTAGTGGCTAAGTTAAATACTATCCGGGTCATGTTGTCCCTTGCGGTGAATCTGAATTGGTTTTTATTCCAACTAGATAAATGAAAAGCTTATAGAAAAGGTATACATGTCACTCCCTACTAGCTTGGACTCTACTGGCTCCAAATTGCAAGTGTGCAAGTTGCGAAAGTCCCTCTATAGGCTAAAGTAGTACCCAAGGGCCTAGTTCGGCAAATTCATAAAGATGGTCGTGGGCCGTGATTTTACTCAGGCTCAATCGGATCACACTTACTTCTTCCTGCGTTCCTCAAATGGTCAGGTAGCTATCCTTTCTATGTTGATGATATTGTTGTTATAGGTAACGATCTCCCAGCATTAGTCCTTGAAAGATATTCTTGCTAAGTCCTTTTAAATCAAAGACTTGGGATCTCTCCAATACTCCTTAGGCATGGAAGTGGCTCGATCATCTCAGAGTATTTGTCTATCACAGCGCAAATATGTGATTGATCTCTTGACAGAGAACCTTCTGTTATGCAAACCTGTTGTTGTTCATATGAATTCCAATGAAAATTGTTTGATATTCCCAATGTTGCGTCTGTCAACAAGACTCATTACCAGCGCCTTATGGGGAAACTCATCTATCTTGCTCATACTCGTCCCGACATATGCTACGCAGTTGCTAAAGTGAGTCAATTCATGCAGGACCCTATAAGCACCATCTACAAGATGTACACCAAATTCTCCACTATTTAAAAGGTACACCAAGCTCAAGTTTTTTTTTTTCGTCACATCTCTTGGTCTATTGTTGTGTATGCAGATGTTGATTGGGTCAGATCAATTCATGATCGCGTTCGGCCCAGAGGCATTGCTCATTTGTATGGGACAATCTTGTAACGTGAAAAAACAAAAAATAGTCGGGTGAGTGCCAGGGGCAGTGCTGAAGTTGAATTATGGTCTATATCCTTAGAAACCTATGAATCTCTTTGGTTACACATCATGCTTTGCGAACTTCGTATGACAACTTTTGTCTCATTGCAGCTATTCTGTGATAATAAGGCCGCAATCAACATTGTTCACAATCCAGTCCAGCATAATGATCGTACCAAACATGTGGAGATTAACAAACACTTCATTATGAAAAAATTTGAGTAGGAAAATTTATGTTCCTTATGTGCCCTCTAGTGGTTAATTAGCGGACATCAACACCAAGAATCTTTCTCGATTTTTGTTTGATGACTTCAAATCTAAGTTGAATATGACTGACATCTATGCTTCAATTTGAGGGGAGTATTAAAATATTAGAATATTAATATGCGGATTTTTGTATTAGTTACATTGATTTGCTTTTATTTACTGCCTTTTTTTCCTTCTAATGTGTTTTTATGTATTTCTTTATTAGTAGATAATGTAATGGGTATTTATACCCCTCTTTGCATCAATAAGATATATATTGGATCTATTGTTAAGTAAACATTATTTTTTTTTTAGTCGAACCATTTTGTTATGAAGTATTGACATAATAGCTTTGATAAACTATTCCATTTTCAAAAAAGAATTATCACAAAATGTTGTTAAAATATTCTCGATGATTATCACTAGTAATATTTGATTTTTTTTTTAATTGTGCTATGTCGTGATGTAAAAATTTTTGAAAATTTATTTCAACTTCAAAATTTTCTTTCATAAAATAAACTTAGCATAATCTTTTGGGATGATCAGAACACAAACTATTTTTTTCAAAATATGTAAAATTTATTTCAACTTTTGTGATCATCAGTCGCACCAATTTGGGTGTTCAATAGTAAGAATGGCTTAACACCAAAGTTATTTTCATATATGACTGGTAAAAAAAATGCTCGAGCTACTTTCAATAAGAATTTATTTTTTCTTTCATTTCAGTCACACAATTTTGTTATGGAGTATCGACATAATAGTTTTTATGAACTATTCTTTTTTTCTTACAAAAATCCCAAAATATTGTTGACATATCCTCGACGATTATCACAACTTAATATTTGAAAAGTTTTTGAAATTGTGATTGTACCATAATGTAAACATTTTTTAAATTTATTTCAACTTCAAAAAAAATTTTGATCAAATAAATCCAACTTAAGCATATGTGATCATCAGTAAATATTACAAACTATTTTTTTCAGAATATGTAAAAGGTTTATAAAACCTATATTTATTTATTTATAAAAAGCCCAAGCGCTAATATATTAAAGAGGAAAATGTACAGATAGATTGTATGAGATGACCTAAAAGAAGGTTCAACTCACACAATACAACACACACAAAAACTCAAAAAAGCAAAGATATATAAAGATAAAAAATCAAAAAGCCACAACAGGCGCAAAAGTGCTAGGGACGTCCCACTTTAGTCTTTCCTCTGCCTCTAGTTCTCGGAAGGGAGTCAGCTAACAAATTGGTAAGGTGCGTACCATTACCCGAAGTAACCAAAGTATCATCCATCTGATTTCTGAGCTCAAGTATGTCTTCATTCTTCTTCTTCCTCCTGGATGTGTAGATTTGTCATTCCTCATCCGAGGATTGACTCATTTGATCAATGGATTGGTCCAAAGGTGGTCGGACAGGTGTAGAAAGTTGCACATCATGATCACCTGAGTCTAAGTAGCATTGACATCTTTCTGGACCTGACGAGACGGTAGTGAAGCAGCAGAAGCAGCAGAATTATTTTTACCTATAATATCAATGATTAGTTCTAGGCAAGGCGGAGTGAAGAATCTCCCTCGCCTCCACGATAAAAGGTTCCAAAAACGGGGGAGCTACAGTAATATGTCGAGACTGAATAGTTTATATATTGTCTGCGATAATAATGACGTCTTCAGGTGTATCCTTTTGATGAATGATAGTGTCAATAACTTGGAATTGATCATGAGGAGTTGGAATCACTGCCTCTAGTGGAGCACTTTGCTTTTTTTTGCCTGAGATCAGAATGTAGATGATGACATTGAGAACTAAAGTGGTCGAACATACGACAGTTCGAAAAATACGAAGGCAAATGCTCAAACTCTACATTCTGCCAATATCCATGATGTTGTGTGTCGGACCAAATTTCCTCAGAAGCAGAAGAAGTAATGTCTCTTTCAATAAGTATTTTGGCTTCAAATGGACGAGAAAGATTAAAAGTAGGAATGTCCGTCTTAAGTGACTTGTCATAAGCTAAGGCAATAGAATACAACACTTTTTGAAAAAAATAATAAAATTTCAGGTCATGAAGTCGAATCCAAACTAGAATGATTGGTGGTTCTGTTTGTGGGTCAAAATCCACGGACCATTTCAAAATCTTCATTGCTTTGTTATCAATCCAGATTATCTCTCTAGCAAATAAGCTTGTGTAATCTTCTCCATTATTAATTTGAATAAAAATGTGTCTCTCATCTAATATTTCAATTTTTCATTCCCAACAAGATGCATAACTTCAAATTTCTTGTGAATACGCTCCATTTTGGGATGATCATATATAAATTTTCCTACCCAGACTTCTCATTCATCCTACCAGATTTCTTGATGTCCTCCGCCCACTCAAACGAAAAAGGGAAAGAACATAATTTAAGGTGTACCTGAGGCGTGGACACCCGCAAGGGAAACTGCATAAGATATGTCTGAAGCCATCCGGTGTGGCGTTAAAAAGAAAACATGGGAAAAATCGCAACAACCGAAGCTGAAAAGGAGAACACGCGAGACAAGCAGAAATCGCAAGCTATACCCGTGAGACGAGAAGTCGCAGGATTGGCGAGAAGACGAGCCGCACCGCAGAGGAGCTGCTGAGCCGAGAAAGCTCGCGAGACGAGAAGACAGGCGACGAACCGCGTCGTAGAGCAAAAATCGCGAGACCGGAAGACGAGGAGACAAAACAGAATCAGGCGCGAAGAGTCTGGAGAAGAAGCAGCGAAGCAGTAACAATTATATATATATATATATATATGAATCAGACTAAATGATGTAGTTAGTTTGTAAGTTTAGGGAGAAAAGACGCACGATGATTTTTAGCCAGCTGTTTGTAAGTTTAGGGAGAAAAGACGCACGATGATTGTCAGACAAACTTCATACTGAAAAGAAGTTGAATATTTATTTTGAAATAAATTCAGAAATAAGTATTTTAAATATTAGAAAACTAGGATGGTTTAACTTACAAATGTAATAACATAATATCATTATTTTAAGAAAAAAAAATAGAATTTAA